ATGTGATAACCAATTTAAGAACTTTAAAGCAGGCATCTCATGTTTTCTGACAGGAATGTATATTTAGTAATCTTCATGATATTTCATTCTGAACATGAAGAATGCCATGGTATGACATTATGGCTTCAAGACAGGTTTTCAGCCATTAACAAACTTACAGGGAGACCACTCAGCCCAAGAATGTCCTTTTCCTCATGTGTATTTGCAAAGACCACCTTGTTCCACACAGGTTACATTATGTCCTTACCAAACCAAATGCTGTATCATTGTGTCTCAGAAAACATCAGTAAAATTTGGCTACCTTTGAAAACCATTAACAAAATTATTTGAGTTAAGTTAGCTTCAGACAAAGGATTCAGACTTAGTGATGGAAAACTGAACATAAACTGGGCTGAAGTTCTCAGAAACCATGGAAAAGAGCTCAGCATTCTCTCTTCAGTAGGCTGCATCTCCAAAACTGAAACAAAACCACATGCTTGCACTTTTTGCTATTCAGAGTTTTATTTGTTCTTTTTTGCTTTGTGAATCAGCAACTAAGGAAACTTTTGTTATAACTATCACAAATCTGGCAATCTAAATATCCTTGTGAAAGCTTATTGCCTAGATTTTAAATTCCTTAATATATGGAAAGAAAATCTAATACCTTTTTTTGCATAGCTTATTTCCTAATATTTTAATGAACCTTACTGACACTGACATTCTTTGCTATTCCTGTAAAAGAGCAGGATTACTACTTCAGCTGAAGTGTCCTCCTCCTCTTGTATAATAAGTCTCAAATTTGCCATTCCCAAGACCTTGAGTAAACCAATCATGAGAAATTTGCCTCTGTGAAACAAAGTTTAAAGATACAGGAGACTGTACACTGCAGAAAGGTACAGTCTTTGAGGCCCAGGTAGTTAAAACACCAAAGTCAGTCCAAATCTGCTAAATATATAAAAACAAATTAAAAATATGGGGTTTTTATTTTCCAGAGTTATTCCTGTGCCTCTGGTACACTAGCTATTTGAATGTCCCTTCCATGTACCTAAGAAATATACTCTAAGGCCTGGAGAAATTCCAGGTCTTTGAAGGCAGCTATATTATGAAATTCTGCTACAGCTATTCACAGGGGCAAACAGGGTGAAGAAACCATCAATGGCTTAAAAGAAAGAGAACTTTTTCATGACTCTTAGATATTCAGCAAATTATTTCGAATCAGAACTGAGGGATATTGGTTTCTGGTAACATGCACGCTTACATGACATAGGCAGAATATGATTATGAGAAGCATTTGACAAAGGGGTAGAGACTGAAGGACAACAACAAAAGCTAATTCTCTCTACCTAGTTAAATAAACTCTGAAAAAACTAATACCTACACAAAAGCAGCTCTGGAACAGCAAAGAACATACATATTCCTTACTATTCAATCCCTAGTATCACTGGTGCTTGGGAGGGGATGCAGGTCAATGAGAGAGAATTGACAGTGATTAGAGACATCAGTGTGTAGAGGAAGGCATCCTTAATTCCCAGTGTTTCCCAACCAGTTGCTTCAGTTTCTCTCACAACATGTTAGCTTAATTCTCTGCTATGGCCAAAATTACACCCACCAGTGACTACTAATAACAAAATTAAATTTCTTCTGCTTCTCATCCATTAGTTTTCTATTCCAGCATGTTGAGAGGTCTAAAAGACTGTGAATGAACAGGAGAGACAGATTCCAGCACTGGCACTATTTTAAAGAACTAGGAAATTAAGAGCATAAGGGAGGAAGATATGGTTGCATTAGGGGAAAATGTGTTCACAAGCTCAGCTAAATACATAAGATTTGGCCTTTCTCCAGGTAGAATTTAAAAGGTTACAGGCTGGTACACAACATAGATTTCAATAACTGCAAAAACTTCAGATTGAAAGCATCTTTAAATTAAATACTAACAACACAGCTTACAAGAAGTCATTCTATGTGTACTTTTTTATGTAGTGTTGGGGCTGTAGAAAATCAGTAGTCTTCAGTTATTTTTTCTACATTCAACCTCATTTCCACCATGCTCAGCTTTTTTCCATAGATAGCATTCTCTCCACTGGAGACTACAGCAGAATCTATCATTGCAAAGGTAAATTGACACACTAAAACAAACTCAGTTTGTGAATAAATTCATTTGCTGCTACAAAGAAGTTTACCTTCCTTAACTTGTTTCAAGTGCAGTGGCAGAAAGTCAAATAGCAAAACTAATTAAAAACCAGAAACAAGCGTTCAGGATTTGATCAAACAGTATGTTTACACATGACAATATACCAGTTTCTCAGAAAGATACTCAACACATCAGCTCTGTACTCCAACCTGCAAAATACGGAAAGCAGAATATTTTATATCAAGTTCTAAAATGACAAATCTTTTGTTAAAAATGTAGAAAGATTAACACAATTTGAGTATTAAATAATTCATGAATGGAGGTAATTAAAAACGTATCCAAGTTCCAGTTTACTTTTAAAGCATTTGCAGGGGAAAATAAAAAAATCCAGGAAGACCACAGTGTCATTTACACAGTTTGAATGGGAACTTTAGAACACTAGTTAAAAGAAATTGTCAATCCACAGAGGAGACTACTGCAGAAGATTCAACACAGGCTCCTGTTTTATCAAGCTGGAAAATTGTATTGTTCAGGATGAAGACTATATGTGGTGACAGCAATTCAAATGAGCACTGCAGAACAGTAAGGGCGTATCAAGCTACACATAGAGATCAAAAATTGATCCATTTGGACTTTTAACAAATAGATAAAACTCTACAGAATATCCAATAACATGCAGGCAACTTCCCATAACAAGACAGCAAAAGACAAAATTTGAATCTCAGATAATTTTCCAAGAGTCCCACTTGAACAATCAAGTCCAGATTCCTGGAAAAACAAGCAGGAATCTTGTTTTTCCAGGCATCTACTAAAAATTTAATTTCTAAAGAGTTCATACATCCTACACATGATACTTCCAAGCTCCCTAGAAAACACTTCAAATGTGCAGGAAAATAAATAAATAATCAAAACCCATAAACACCATGTGCAACAGGAAGAGAGCTGGAGAGACAGGCTTCACCCAAGGCCTTGAATTTTTAAAATAGCGAGGAAATCGTCAGCCAAAATCTCCAAATCAGTAGACAGTTCCTGCCAATCTGACAGGTCAGATTCCAGATAGCAAACATAGTGAATTTTTAAACCTCGACCAGTTACCAAGGCATATCAGCAAGTCATAAGCAGAAACTCCAGTAAACCCCATTTTATACTTGCAGTACCTTCAGACAGAAGGCAACTTCTATGTCCTCATGTAAACTGAGGAAGAAAATTTTTTTCCTGGCCCCTGAGGGTAACCCAAGGGGAACTCTGAAACATACAACTAATTCAGTATAAATACAGGAGAAACATGCACTGTCTGTAAGTAGCAATATGATCTCCTTTCAGCATTCCTGGGACTAATCAATGCATTGGATGCCTAGGGATTTGACTTGGAAGCTGACATTTTATCTACTTTTCAAGCTCTATTTAGTTCTGTTTCTCTCACTACTCTTGACTAATGTGCTAATTAGAACCCTTCTTCGAATTTTCACTGTAAATTTATGCCTGTCCAATACATACTCATATTAGGATTCAGAAACTTAAGTGACACTGGTGGAACAGGTGAAAAGCAAACAATCACATCACAAAGAAAATAACTAGCAAATCATCCACCCTTGAAACAGACTGTAAATAATACTCTGAGAATAACAGCTCTAAATCCAGAAACTTGTCTGTTAGTTTATAGAACTTCTTCCTCTATCCTCCCTCATCGCAAACGCAGTATCATTAATTCCTTATGCAACTCCTTTCAGGCTTCATTGATGGGTGGCCCCACTTTTTAATGGAAATTCTGCCTGTGAAAAGATTCAAGATCCAGCTCTTCACAGAAAAACATTAAAAGTAGCAATAAGCTAAACATAAAAATTTGTTCATAGCAAAGAAAATATTTTGACAATATTCTGTGGATCTAACTAGCTGTTCTTAATCTCTAACATTCCTATGTTTAGAGTTACACAGAAACAAGTAATAGTTTTCTATGCTCTTGTACTAATTATACTCATGCTTTGATCTGTCAGGCAAATTGGTGTTTTTACTAGACTGAAAGTTCCATCAGACTACACTGTTGCTGAGTTTCTAAGGGAACAGACCCATTTATTCTGACTTCCCTGTGCATAGTTTGCACATGATCTCCCTGCAATTTTTATCCTCCTTAGCAGAAGCAACAAGGTCTTTCTGAGGAAGATTTACATTGTCTTGTTCGTCTGACACCAGTCACAGGATAATGTTGATGGTCTGCTGGGACGGTAGAGGGGCAGATGGGCTTGACAAGAGGCCAGATTCTCCCAGTTGTGTTAATTCAACCATCCCAGATCCAGTCCCAAAAATGCATTCACAAGTGATGTGGGCAGCTGGTGCAGGTGGGCTTGGGATTAAATTCAGGACCTCTCAAAGTAGAGCACAACCATCACCCCAGTGTTTTCTTGAGGTAACACTATGTGATATATTTACTTAAGAAGTTGGAGTACCACGAATGCATTAGAAATACATTAGAAATACATATAGACAGAAGCCTTTTTATATGAAAGGTAAAACATTTCAAAACACTCAAACACAAGTGCTATAAAATCAAACATAGTAGCATGCACTCATGACTATTTAGTTTATAGCAGAAGGTGTTACTTGCCTCTTCAGTAGTTCTATTCTTCATTTGCCAAACACCGATTTGTCAAAATACAAATAATACAGAAACTAACAAAGCAACATTGTCAGAGATAAGCACCAAATGCAATTACTTTTCTTCCATAATTTCTTATGCTTGTTTTCACGTCATACACTCCTGTTGTGTATTTAGAATTTTATGAATAAAAAAAGAGCAGAAAAAGAAAAACATTTAAACACTCTAAAGTATATTTCTAAAACTGCAGCAAGTACTTTGACGGTATCTTTTAAACAAATAAATTTTTTTCCTTACCTCTCTAAGATGCATGTTTTCTTTTTCCTTCTGATCTAAAATCACTTCTAAATGATTAACCTGAGATTCAGCCTCTGCCATCCTTCGAGTTCTCTCATTATCATCTTCCATTCCTTTAGATGGCAAACCTTTACTTTGCAACATTTCCAGAAGCTTCTTTATTGATTCATCTCTTGCATTTAGTGTTTGCTTTTGTGTTTCAATCCTAAGCTCCATTTCTTCTAGTGTTTTTCTCAACAGGAATAGCTCTTTAGCTTGTCTATCATGTTCCGCTTGAAGTCTTCGAAAATTCTCCTCAGTGAGCTCAATGGTAAAATGCTCAGCTCCTCGGTTTCCACTTTCCTGCTGGAGAAGATGGTTAAGGTCTCTCTGGGTTCTAAGCTCATCTTGAAGTGCCTGGATTGTCATTTGCAGATGCTGCAACAAAGAAATGAAATGGGGAAAAAAAATCAGTTTAGGATCTGAATGTAGAATTAGTCTTTGACTAAACTTGTACGCTGTTAGAAAAATTCATTAGAATCAATGACAAAAGTATATCAAATGACCTTACAGAATAGCAAATGCATGTGACTATCTGTAATGGTATCTTTCAAGTGCTTCTAGAAAAAACAAGACAACACACACACAAAATAATGGCAGCTACAGACAAAATAAATAGCAAACAAAGGCAAACCAACAAACCCAAACAATAGGCTGTTACACATCCATTTGTCAATATGTACCTACAAAGCTGAAAGACTCAGTATTCTATATTTTCTAAACTACTTCATAGACTAAAGGTAATTCAGCCATTCAAGGTGCTCGGTACTGTTGTTCACAAAGTCAATCAAAGCACTCACTATAATTAAAGGGGCTTTGGGGAGGAGCTCAGTTGGGGCTGGTTGGTTTTAGTTTTTTCTTTTGGCAACTAAAGCTATGAACATGTTTAGCAAACAGGATTACTGTATCGCCAACAAGCAAACAAAAAAATACATTAAGCAATACTGATTTTTGAAAAATAAAGTGACTGCAAATAGTCAACAAACCTTTGTTCTCCTGGCATCCAAAAACTGAACAGCATGGTAAATGAAAAATGAAGCAAAATCAACATAAATAAAGGTCAGAAGCAAGCAAAGGAGATTCAACAGAAAGAACTGAATTCAACAAAACATACCTTCAACAGAAAAAAAAAATTACTGAGCTATACAGAAAGGCACCAACAAGTTCACAGTACTCAAACAGATAAACCTGAACTATACACAGACTTTACTCAATAAATGTGACAACGAAAAACATCGGAAATAATCAATCCCACAGTGAGTAACAACATTTCTGTTTTATCTTACTGTTCTTTACACTTGATGGTTTACCAAAACACAGTATCTTGCCCTAAGATGTTTGAACTACATCTAAGTACAGAGTCTTACTCTGTTCAGAGGTAATTCTTTCACTCTTTGTTCAGCACTAATCAAAATCCAAAGGATTTTATCCATGTTAAGGTTGGAACATAGATAATTATCCTAAATTACTGTGGTTTATGATGTTCATTTCCAATTGTATTCTTATCTGACAATTTTTCTTATTTTCTTTCTCTATTCACTGCCTACACAGCATACTAAATTTATAGAAATATGAATCCTGGATAGTCACAAAGTCTGTACCAGAAGACATGTAACTGCAGGAATTAGGGGACTTAAATGCATGGCACCAGACTTTTTTGATATTCTTTGATATTCTGAAACTTTACATCTAAAAATAAAAGGAAGGAAAAAAAACCTAAACAACAAAACATCATTGCACTTGATACTACTTTCATGTTTAGCACAATTACATCTAAAGCTGGCTGTCTGTAACAGTAATTTAAACGAAATGAAAAATGCAAAACCTTAATAACCCTTTGAAATCATTTCTTTTAGCAGTTATTTCAAATGGAAAAAAATATAGCTAGTGATAGAATTCTGTATAGTTACACTTTGAATCCGTTCTGACATTAAGTAGCACTGTGTTAATAAATGTCCAGATCTTAATTCTCTTATTATTTGCATCTTATTAAGCACACAGTCACTTAAGACTATACAAATGTTGGCTACTCTTTTACAGCCCTGCTTTCATGTAATAGTAAATGTTTTCTTAATCTCATAATCTTTTTAATTATTCTTATTAACTTAAAATTATATTAGTATTATATAAAATTGTTTATATTCATTAACTTTACAGCTCAGTAAACTTAAAACTGCTCTAGATGTAGCAATTTTGCAGCTTTAAATCTAATAAACTGAGTATTCATGACCCCAAGGCTGACAGTTTTAGCACAGAAATTCAGTGCATAAATCCAAATCAAATTTTCAAATAGTAGAGAAATTATATTCAATGATTATCATGAACAAATGAATTAACAAAGACATCAGAAAGCAATAGCAAAGTGGGATAGATGCTGCAAAGTAAACAATCAAACCCATTTTCTTTTTAAATGTTTTTTCATTATATTAAGCCATAGGGACATAAATTTTGTAGATTATCTTAACCAGCCCACACAGTAGTTTTGCAGTGATTCCAAACTAAATGACACCTTGCATTAGAGAATACAGACTTACTGTATTCTCTAATCCTTTGTAGCCTTTTAACACCAGAATTGGAGAATAGATGCTTGAAATTACCAAATTAAAAATAATTCAGATTTTACTAAACGAATTGCAAGTTTCATTTATACAAGAAAATACTAATTTTCTTCACTAGCATTAGAGTGAAAACATGGATTAAATCCTGGTTTAAGTGTAGTAAAAAGAAAAGGAAAAAGAGAACCAGAAAACACCTTCACATTACATTTTTCAATATATGACTATTGAGATGGAAATGGCAAGGGAGCAAGTAAAAGTAACACTTTTCGGGGGGGGGGGCAGGGGGGAAATAAATAAAAATCTGACAGACACCTCAAATAATACATTGCAATGTCTCCATTCTTATCTTTAAGAACATTTTCGCTAAGCTGATTTTGTTGCAAAAGTGCTTTAGATTTTGTTTCAGTGGCATGGCTGATAGGGGTTGTGGTTTGGGGTTTGTTTTTTATTTAATATTTTAAAAGTCATAACACAAGTTTCTATCTTGAAGCTCAAGGAACAGATTTTTCTGTTCTTGTTTTGTTGTTGTTACTGGTTGGGGGCAGGGGGTAGTGAGGTGGGACTTAAATCCCAGCTTCTGACAGAAATAAATTCTGCTTGAGACTCACAGCTGTCATCTACAAAAATACCTTTTTTTTCCCCCAAAGGCTTCAAAAGAAACCAGAAGTGTTGCAAATGCGTCAAAAACTTAAAAGACCACAAGCAAATAAAAAGTAAAAAACATATTAAATTTTTCATCCACTGTTGTAATTCAAGGAAACAAGCTTCATCTTTTACAATTTAGGACTTAGAAACATATAACTGACCTATCTGATGCATCTTTACTTGTTTTTCTGGTGGATGAAAAACTGGACATGAGCTGACAATGTGCACTCACAGCCCAGAAAGCAAACCATACCCTGTAGTACTGCATCTAGCAACCTACGTATGTGGTTCGTAAGTTCTACTCATAATCACGTTTGTCACTAAGTACAACAGTAGTTGTGGCTGCTTCTCAGTAACTATGTTAAAACTAACAGCCTCAACTGTGGCAGACTAGTGATGCTTTGATACAAGAGAATCCATTTTTGTACACCTCCAAGACTTAGAACACACTTAGAACATGATGGACCAGATTTAGACTTGTTCTGGCAGAGATTTTTGTTTCTGCAGCTAGCTGAGAAAAGGCAAGAACAAATGTTGTGAGGGTGGAAAGAAATTGTATAATTAATTTCAGCGGGGGAGGAATGTGGGAGTGCTGTGAATCTCTGTCACGTTGCTGTCATTACACAGACATAGAGCTTCATGGGATTGGAAAAAAAAAGGTGCAAGATACATCATATTTTTCACAATTTCTATTAAAAACAGCCCAGTTGACCTGAAATATTTCCATGCCAATTTTTTGGTAATAGATAAATAGTTCTCTCAGAACTTTTTCATTCCTTCACTATAGCCTGACTCCAAGAGGCAACCCATGGAACTGCACAGGAGATGCCATTAAGCTTTCTCTGAATTAAACATATTACAGTGTTGACTGAGAAAAACAACCTGAAAGATTTGGTGGCAGAAAGTGGTCCTCTGCTATCATCAAGTTATGGATTTTGAAATATACTTCCATTCATATGCAATTTTTTAGTAGTTCTATAATGTACCAATAATCTAACAAGCTAATTCCTCAGGCAGGAATCACTCAAATTTGGGCACCACAGCTGCTGAAGGATTCCAAGTATGTTCTTTGACATTTCTGCTCTAAATACTTTGGTACAGTACTATAAACTAAAGGGGACCTGAGTGTTTTTCCCCCACCTATTGTCTCAATCCTCCCTCTCACCTGCCACTGTCTTTTTTTCCTCTCTCTCACGACTCCATTTTTAGCTCCTGTTTCTTTACCACTCCAAACACAGGGACAAAATATTTTAGCTTTGACTTCTGGAAGTCTCTTGCCTGGCTTTACAAAAAAATTACTGTGATAACAGTCTATGTCCTCTCAATGCCAGAACTTCCATATGATGTGGCGGTGAAACTACCTTAACCAAGTGAAAGCCAACTGACAGCAAAACCCTGCAATTTTAGAAGGAATAATCAGAGCCCAGGAAAGAGAGCAGGTCTAGACAACAGACACCCACACACTGCCGGGTGGGATGCGAGGTGAGACTGAGCTGCCTTACTTTACACCAGGCAGCTGGCAGTTTGGAAATGCAAACGAGCATGTTGGAATGGATTAATGAAAAAACTTTCAGAAGAGGTGGAAATCAAACCAAACTGAAGATACCAATGTACTCTTTCTTTTCCTTTTATTAATGCATACAAAAATCACAAAGGATTTGGACAGTTCTTTATCATTTGTTACAGCCTTTGAAAAGACATGGTCTAACAGAATTTTTCTGATTTTATTCCTCAGGCTACAGATGATTGTTTTAAGCAGTCTCTGCAGCTAACTTCTCAATGGTATGGGATATCTTAATAAGCAGCCATGTATGATCACATCATCTCTATGGTGCATGTTATGAAAGGAATAAAATACATTAAAATGCCCAGTGTCTTGGGCCATAAATACAGACTTTCAGGGATGAATATACAGATGACATGATCTAGTCTTTGGCAGTGGGCAAATACATGATGATACAGAAGACTGTGGAAAAAATCCTACTGTGTAACTGTACACTGTAAAAAGCTACAACTATAACCACATACATCTGAACAAGGATAATACCAAATCATGCTATCAACTATACTCTCATTTTCTAAAACTAAGCTTCATTATCTATTCTATAATCTGCCACTGCTCCATTTTCTTTCTTCACTATATGAAGCTCTATCACTGAAAGGTAACAAGCTACT